TCATGAATTTTAGAAATATATATATATATATATTAACTTATGGCTAATTTATCTGTTGAGTGCCACATCTTGTGGTACGAAACTAACAGCCCTGATACACTACAAAATTTACTTTTCAAAATAATTTTTGTGATAGAGATACTAGCAGACCCCAAGCTACCCATACTAATATAAAGTTGCCAAAAGTGTTGCGGAATTTTCAATTTAGTGGTCAAAATTCTTGCAATGGCCAAAATCATGAGGTAAACATTTATGAGTATAGAATCCAATGTGGTGACTTGAATAATTAGATAAAAATTTTATTAAAAATGTTAAAAATAATACAATTAATATTAGAATGAAAGGGTGTTGTACGGTTGCATGGGCCGCCTGCATGAGTTAAACAAACTGACTTCAGTCCAGGGATTATTCTAAGGTGCAGTGATAACCAATTTGTGCAGTTATAAATGAGATTTGTGCAGTAATAAATAATAGATTATGTTCAGTGATAAAATGCGATATTGTTCACTACCAGAAATTGGCGACAAAATAGCCACTGCTTGTATACTAATTTGCATATATAGGTGATGTGCAATCACGCCCAAGGGATTTAAAGGAGAAAGAGATTTTCGCCATGTTGGATGATAATAATACACACATGAGTAACATGTAGTGAATAACAATATATAAACTAAGCCCGCATTCCCAGTGACCATGGATTGACCGACTCCTGTTTTGACAAGCAAAATCCTTTGTCAATGTCATCCAACATGGCGACGGTGACGTAACTTTCACACCACCTATAAATCCACATGCAGTGGCTTTCAGTACTCAAAATTATTACAATCTGAGAGCTCGGTTACTGTTTGCCAACCTCTTGATCAATATATAAAGCATTCATTTACTGTTTCTGTGGCATATTTATTTCGATCGGGTATCTCTCAGGCTCCTAGCGGCCAAGCCGTGTTCAAGAAAATCACTTTTATAGTCATCTTCGTATGGTTAGACTGCTGTCGAGCGATTTTGTTTTAAGATTTTTGACAATGTTTGGTGACACAATCAACAGTTTATAGATTAATCTATTTCACGAGTGTGAAAGACTAGATCTTGAGCAATATTGCTTGGTATTTTGCATGCAATTCGGAAAATATGTGAAAATGTGTATATTTTTGCATGAAATAGAGTATGCAGAATGCAGTTTTAGGCTCATTAGCGGTGATTTTGACTCGTTTGCCTGCATATAATTAGTGACATGCATGGGGTAACCAGAGTACATGCACTCGTGCAGGGCAGTCAGAACGTTTTCTAAAATTTCGCTAAATTTATATAAATTTTATCATTTTTCGCGCTTTTGTGCAGTGATAAAGTCCCCTTAGAATAATCCCTGGACTTCACCACGTTATGGTGACAATCAGCCACAGTTCTGTGTGCGCCTCATGCAGTTCAGCTATACAGTCAAGAATGCTTTCGTGCGACGCTATCAATTTGGATTATTCATGCAACAGATTTATTTCGCGTTTAGTATAAATCAACACTTGCTTAAATATTCATGTAACTAACCAATCACAGATGTTCCTAGCCTGCATAGCAGGCGCTATTTAGGGGGGAGGGCGAGGGTGGGAAAAGCTAGCTCCCCTTAAATAGGAGTTTATCTATTGGTCGAGTGTCGAGGGTTAAATGTCGAGGGTAAAAAGTCGGGGGCGAGGGTAAAAAGTCGAGGGTTAAAAAAGTCGAGGGTAAAAAGTCGAGGGTAAAAAGTCGAGGGTTAAAAAAGTCGAGGGTTAAAAAAGTCGAGGGTAAAAAGTCGAGGGTTAAAAAAGTCGAGGGTAAAAGGACGAGGGTTAAAAAATCACAAAAAAATAGAATATTAAAGTAAGGTAACCACTTTGGATAAGGCTATAACGACGTCTACGTGTCTTCTCGGCATGCAGTATTGTTATACGAGCACTTATACATTCCCTTGATCTGGTCCAGGAGAGGCTACATCCTCATCAGAACTTCCTGACCGTACAGCATCGGAATATAATTTGTCTGAAGACATTTTCAGCGAAATTGAAAGCGAAATATCGATCAAATAAATTTTAAGCCAAGAGAGCAGAATGCAAGATGCAAGTAAGGACTTAGGATATACGAGGCGTGATATCCGCCAAATATGTTTATTCGAGCCAGTGGACAGCGGCATGTCGGATATGACAATAACCTGATCTGCCAGCCTCGTCCCCGGCGCTTTGCAACCAGTAAGCACATCAAAGCGCCAGGGACGAGGCTGCTGCTCTGCCAATAAAGGCGAAAACATCACCCAACGTGTGTGCGTGAAACGCATATTATATTACAATACTGCCGAGAAGACACGTAGTCGTCGCTATGGCCTTATCCGAAGCGGTTATACCCGACCTTAATATGGAATTTGTATTTTTTTGTGACTTTTTACCCTCGACTTTTAACCCTCAACTTTTACCCTCGACTTTTTATCCTCGACTTTTTACCCTCGACGTTTTACCCTGCACCCTCGACTTTTTACCCTCGCCTTTGACTTTTTACCCTCGCCCTCGACTTTTTACCCTCGCCCTCGACTTTTTACCCTCGCCCTCGACATTTAACCCTCGACACTCGACCAATAGATAAACTCCCTAAATAGTGCCTGCTACGCAGGCTACAGATGTTCCCTGTTTTTCAGGGGAAATCCACGTGACTGAACAAGCTTTGCTTTCCAAACGCGCAGAATCAACTTGATATGTAATAAATTCGGGTTGAGGCTACCTTTTTTAGGGACCTTTAAGCCTGGTTTCCATATGGTCGTAACTATCGCGAACGTGTCGTGAATGATTTTTATGCGTGTTTCCATATGGTTGTAACTGCCGTGACACTGTCGTGCACTGTCGCAAGTTAATTTCGTACCCAGGGATCGTACAAGCAGCTGGCGGCAGTTTTAAAAGAAACACGGTCCGACCCCCAAAGGGGATCTTTCACCCCCTCGTTGTCGCAAAACTGTTGCCATGCTGTCGTTTTCTGTTTCCATTAAAACATATTAACCGTCACGACATGTTTTTAGCCTGTCGCAACTGTCGTCGAGATAGAATTCGAGTCTTTAATCTTTAATTAATCTTTAATTAAAATTATTTACACACGGTAGCCTATTCAGTGGATAATTATTTACAAAACTGGTTTTCAAAGGGCCGTGTATCTATCAATATACTATATAAGCTATTAAACACAAAATATATATAAACAAATAAATAAAGACTATTTACAAAGTTAGTATCAGTATTAGCATCAATTTTATACCTAATTATATAATCGCCATTTAAACGATAAGATTGATAGTTCATTGTAATTTTCGATGCTTTCATTTGAAAATTTGTCTTAGGTTTGGGAAGCGCCAATTTGGTTTGATTACTTCTTAGATTGTAATTGTTGTTTTGGCATCTTGTAAACAGTTTTACAAGATATTGAGGTAATCGACCAGTTAATGCTTTGAATGTCATTATTACTTCTCGTTTTTTTAAAAGTTCCTCAATTGGAAGCCAATTAAGATTATTTAGTATTTGTGTGGAACGAACATCGTACGCGTGTCCCCAGTTATCACACGCGCAGCTCTCTTTTGTAATTTAAATAATTTATCAATTATCGAGCAACACCCATCGTTCCAGATTGTTGAACAGTAATTGAAGTGTGGCCACACCAAGGCATTGTACATTTCTATTAAAGTTTCTCTGGGAACAAACATCTTGCCCTTTTCAAAAGGGCGATCTTATTAACAACTGAGTCACCGAGCAAGAATAAAGTAAAAGAAATACTTGATATATACGATGTCGAACAATTAATAAACGAACCGACAAGAATTACTGCTACATCTAGCACCCTGATCGATTTATGCCTAACCAATACACCTGTAAATATTGTGAAGTCTGGTGTCATACACGTATCTATTAGTGACCATTCATTAATATATATGATACGTAAGGCTAACTATATACGAGGGGGCCCCAGAACGATAGATGCTAGAACAATGAAGAACTTCAACGTTAACAGAGAATTGTTTCTAAGCGACCTTGAACTAAACCATTGGGATAGTGTCTATTGCTCCCAGGACCCTAACGAAATGTTTGATGTCTGGAAAAAAATGCTCATGAAAACCATAAATAAGCACGCACCACTTAGATCCAGGAAAATTAGAAATAGAAAATCTCCCTGGAATACAAAAGATTTAAGACGCCAGATATTTAACCGAGATTACCTAAAAAAGAAAGCTGTTACATCCAATGATCCTAAAATCTGGCATCAATATCGACAAACTCGAAATCACATTAATAATGAAATTAAAAAAACTAAACAAGCTTATTATAAGAATAATCTTGAATCGAGTAAAGGTAACATGAAAAAAACATGGAACCTTATAAATGAACTAAGCTCTAGAAATGTAAGCAAAACTAAAAAGATAACACAATTAGATTTTGAAGAGCGAGAAATAACTGCACCTGAAGAAATAGCTGAAACATTTAACAGCTACTTCTCAGGTATTGGTGAAAAACTTGCTTCCGATATTCCTGCTCCTGTGCGTGATCCAGTATTTTATCTTAAACCAACTGATAAATCTTTCTCTCTCAAAACTCCCTCCGTTAACACAGTTTATCAACTGCTGACTACATTAGATAATAAGAAGTCAGCTGGTTTGGACAATATACCAAACAAATTCCTAAAGATAGCTGCAAGTGTTATTGCACCCTCGTTAACAGGAATATTCACTGCATCTATTAATACCGGAATATTCCCGTATGAATGCAAGGCAAGCAGAGTAACGCCAGTATTTAAGAGTGGCACAAGAAATAACCCAGGCAACTATCGGCCTATATCAATTATTCCATGTGTTGCTAAAATTTTTGAAAAAATCATTTTCGATCAACTACAATAAACTACATGGGTATCTTGATTCAAATAATTTGCCGAACACATGCCAATCTGGATTTCGACCGTTCCACAGTACCCTAACAGCGTTGCTAGAAGCCACAAGCGACTGGTCCATGAATATTGACAATGGCCTAATTAACGGAGTTGTATTTATTGATTTAAAGAAAGCTTTTGATACGATCGATCATCAAATTATCCTGCAAAAGCTTAAAAATTATGGTATTGACGAAAACAGTCTTACCTGGTTTCATTCATATCTCACTGATAGAACTCAAAAGTGCCAGGTAAATGGTCAACTGTCAGATTCTGTGCCAGTGGCCTGCGGTGTCCCTCAAGGTAGCAGTCTAGGGCCATTGCTATTCCTCACCTACATTAATGATTTACCGAACTGTCTTAATCATACAAATATTAGTTATGCGTCCGACTCAGTCAAAGAGCTCCAACATGTCATTAACACCGAATTGAAAGGTCTAAGCGATTGGCTAACCACTAATAAACTAAGCTTAAATATTGTAAAAACAGAATTCATGGTAGTTGGATCTAGACAGAGAATAAAAACACTAAATAATGAAATAGATATTGAGATAAACGGTAATATGGTCAACCAAGTTACTTCGGTAAAATCTCTGGGTGTCCATCTTGATAATCACCTTATGTGGTCTGAGCATACTGACAAACTATGTAAAAAAAATGCTTCAGCCATAGGGGCTTTAAAACGTATAAGATCCTGCATTTCAACGAACACGGCTATCCAAGTATACCAAGCACTGATTCAACCTCATTTTGACTACTGCTGCTCGGTCTGGGATGGTCTTGGCGAAACGCTAAGTTCTAAACTACAAAAATTACAGAATCGGGCGGTCAGGGTCATTACGAGGTCCAGCTATGACACTAATGCTACTATGCTTCTTGATACTTTACACTTGGATAACTTATCGTTGAGACGCAAAAAACTTAAAGCTGGCTTGATGTTCAAAACACTCAAAGGTGACACACCTACCTATCTACAAAATCTTTTTTCAGTTCGTGGCTCAGAATATAATCTTAGGAACTTTGAAATGAAATTAAATCTACCCAAGCCACGAACTAATTATCTGAAGCGAAGCTTTCAGTACAGTGGAGCAGTGCTGTGGAATAGCCTTCCCGAAAATATAAGAATGCTCCAATCGTTTTCTCAGTTCCGGAAAGCTGTAAACAAGTATTATAATAGTTTAGATGAACTCCCACACGGCAATCTTGTAAACCAGTAGATCCAGGCGCAATGGATTAGCGTGTTGGACTTCTAATTCAAAGGTTGTGGGTTCGAGTAGATAGATAGATAGATAGATCAACTTTATTTAAACACATTGGCCTTTTCAGCAAAAGCTGATTTCCAAAAGGGATGTGTACTTACAAATTATTATTTATATACTAGCTCTAATATTACATACATAACAAATACAATTATATACCTATTTAGACAAAAATTAACTACTACTTTAAGTCGAGATTAAGGTCGAGGAAGATAGCTTTTTACAGAACGAATTATACGATACCGAATTGCGTATCTCTTCAGGTATCTGGTTCCATAGTTTAGCCCCACTATATTGGAAGCTTTTTTTTAAGGATTCCGTTTTTGGTCTTGGAATATAAAACCTTGTTGAAGAACCTCTCAGATTATGATCATGAATGGTATTCAGATTTTGGAAAGCTTCACATAGTCGTTGGGGGGCTAAACCATTAACTGTCTTGTACATGAGCCTGGCTTTCATTTGTGCCCTACGCTCTTCAAGTGTTACCCAGCCTAGAGATTTTCGTGCCAAAATAGACTGACCATGTTCATTTTTTAAGTTCATGATCAACCTAGCCGCTCTGTTTTGGAATTTCTGTAGACATTCACTTAGGCCTTTATTAAGTGTATCCCATACTTCACAGCAATAATCAAAATAAACTTTTATCAAAATGTCTTGTTCGACATACTCCCTCATTTTTCTAATAGCCCCAATACCTGATGATATTTTACTGCGAATATGGTTAATGTGTTTTTCCCAACTCAAGTTTTCGTCTAATTCAACTCCAAGAGCTTTGGTATTTTTAACTTTTTTAATCAATTGATTATTTATTTTAACTCCTTGATGGGTATCAATATTACTTATTTTATGTCGTGTTCCAATTAAAACATACTCGGTTTTCGCTATATTTACACTTAATTTATTTGCACAAAGCCATTTCTGAACATTCCTCATGTCTACGTTCGCCCTCTCTTCCGTCTCACTAATTGTTCTGCCTACTGCCGTTAAGTTAGTATCATCAGCAAACATTCTTGGAGTTGTGCGTTCTAGGCAGCTTGGCAAATCATTTATATACATAATAAATAAGAGAGGGCCGAGTATACTTCCCTGAGGAATGCCACAAATGATTTCTTTCTCCACCGAGAGTATACTGGCCAATTGACAACTTTGAGTTCGGTGCGTCAAATAGCAACGTAAAAGATTTAATGCTTTCCTTTGGAAACCATACATTTCAAACTTACTTAACAGTATTTCGTGGTCGACTGTATCGAATGCTTTTTTTAGGTCAAGAAAAACAACTAAGTTATACAGCCCACGATCCATGTTGGTATACCATTCGTTCGTACAATCCAATAATGTAGTAGTTGTGGAATGATAAGGTCTGAAACCAAATTGGTGTTTTGAGAAAAGATTATTCTGGTTAAGATACTCATACATTTGATCATACATAATTCTTCCATAAGTTTACTTACTACAGGAAGGATTGATATCGGTCTATAGTTGTCCAACATGGACCGCTGACCTTTCTTAAACAATGGAATAACCCTTGCAGCTTTCCAATCAGAAGGAAATTGATCCGAGTCAATTGACATATTAAAAATCTCAGTAAGAGAAGGTGCAATAACTGGAGCTGCTACTTGTAGAATTTTAGCTGAAATTTTATCCATTCCAGTCGCTTTGGTGGTAGACAAATTAACTAGAAGAGTGTAAACCAATGTTACACTCACTGGTCAAAATGAGAAACTGTTCTTTGTCTTAGATTTTTGTTGAGTAATAAAATCTCGAAAATTAACGTCATTGTCATTTGGAATAGACTCAGCAAGCTTTGGGCCAATATTACTAAAATGATCATTAAAAATGTCGACTAATTCGTCGGTCAATGTAACAGTTTTACCTGGGAGTTTAATTTCATTAATCGTAGTCTGTTTTCTGTTTCGACCTAATATATCGTTTATTGTTCTCCAAGCATATTTAGGATTCTGTTTATTATTTGTGAATTTGTTTGCATAATAATCTCTTTTAGCACTGCGCAAAGCAGTGTTGGCAACATTTCTAGATGACTTATATAGTCTCCAGTCTTCTTCTTTATTTGTCTTTATCTCTTTTAAATAATTTTTCCTTTACTTCCCGGCTTACCCAAGGAATATTGCCCCCTTTTCTTAATCTTTTTACTCTCACAGGGGCATGTTTATCCAGCACATCTACAAAAAATGTTTTCCATAACCGCCACATTTCATCTACATTTCTTTTAAATCTTATTTCTTCCCAGGGTATATTTTGTAAGTCATATAGAAAGCCTGAAACATTGAAATTCTTAAAATTTCTATACTCGACAGAACCTTGTAAATCAGATTTTATTCTTGTACTTATTTTCCGAATACTATAAATGAGGCTGTGATCACTAATTCCGAGATGGACTACACCTGAAAAAATTATTTTTTCAGGCATTGACGCAATTACTACATCTAATAATGATTGGCTAGACTGGGTAATACGCGTAGGGTTATTAATTAATTGTGTAAGCTGATATAATTCCAAAACGTCTTGAAGCTTTCTAGTGGTGGACAAAGTTGGTTCTAGCATATTACAATTTAAATCTCCCAAAATATAAAATTCTATATTTTCATCATCAATTGATTTGATTAGCCTCTCAATTTTTATAAACACTTCACTAGCGGAACATGGTGGTCTATAAACACTTGAAACTATATAAAAGATTGAGTATTAGCCTGCTTAATTTCCACACAGACAGCTTCAAGGTCTGTTGGAACTAGATCAGGGCGATTTTCATAATTTATATGGCGTCTTATATAAATACATACCCCTCCTCCATTTCTATTCCGATCAGCACGTAGCAAGTCATAACCTTCAATGCTAACAATCCCATCGGAAATAGTGGAGTCCAAACGGGTTTCATTAACTGCTAAAACATCTAAATATTTATCGTGAAGTAATAATCGGATTTCATCAAGGTGTTTCGGAAGTTTAGTTTAGTTTAGTTTAATTAATTCGCCAGTAAATTACAATAACATACATATATAACAAGTTACAAGTTTACTAAACAGACGACTGGCAGGAGTTAGATACAGGACTAATGTCCCAGTTGCCATCCTACCCCTATACATCAATACAATACACTAAGAAATATTCACGCAGGTAAGCAATACGTAGCTAATTTATCGAAGTATAGGTTAATGATTTTAGTCTTAAATAAAGTAATTGAATTACAAGATTTTAAATTAGAAGGTAACGTATTCCAGAGTTCTGTAGCCCTAATGAAAAACGACTTTCTATAATAGTCTTGTTTGTGCTTAATAATCAAGTTGTAGTTATTTGGGTCGTAATTACGTGTCCGATAGCAATAAACGTAAGTGTTCAGGTACTTATTCACGTCCATAGTTATTAGCCCATTTCTGGACTTAAACAATAAAGTTAAATCCGAAATCTCTCTTCTGAATTCCAGTGGAAAAAGGCGTAGTTTCTGCAGCCTCAACGGATATGACATATCTTTTGGGTAATTAAGAATAAACCGCGTAGCTCTTCGCTGAACATTTTCGATAAGTAAACGATGTTTACCTGTGTAAGGAGACCAAAGACTACTACAATACTCAAGCTTTGGTCTAACAACAGTACAATACAGAAGCTTCCGGGTGTTTGTGTCCTTGATATCCCCACACAATCTTTTAACAAGACCAAGGGTTCTGTTAGCTTTAGAGACAATCTCTTCGATGTGTTTAGACCATGAAAGGTTGTTGGTGATAGTAATTCCAAGGTCCAGTATGTTAGCAACATTTTCTAATTGGTTACCTGCCAGATAGTAGTTTTTACCCGTTAAGTGATGTTCTGTAGGTAATTTCTTCCTTGAAAAATGTACTGCTTTACATTTACTAACATTGAATGCCATTGCCCAGTTTTTGCCCCAGTGACTGAGGCTGTCGAGATATTTCTGAAGGGAAACACTGTCGTTAGGCAAATAGATAGGGCGGAAAAGTTTGGAGTCGTCCGCATAAAGAGCAATTGATGAATTGTTTTCTAAATAGGTGGGTAGATCGTTAATGTATATTAAGAAAAGAAGCGGCCCAAGGATAGACCCCTGCGGGACGCCCGATGTAACAGGGAGCCAGTCAGAAGAATGTCCGTTGATAACCACTCGTTGATGTCTTTCCGATAAGTAACTGCCAAACCATGAGAGGGTAGGATCAGAAATACCATACGATTTAAGTTTTAATAAAAGCAGATTGTGTGGTACCTTATCGAACGCTTTGCTAAAGTCCAGGTAAATTGCATCTACTTCTTGACCACTAGCAATACATTCCAGAATTTGATGGTATACTACCAACAACTGCGTATTCGTGGACCGCCCTCTCAGGAAACCATGTTGGAGATAATGGAACATAGAGTGTAGATGTTCATAACAGTGATTGTAAACACACCGCTCTAAAACTTTCGATAACGTATCGAGTAAAGAGATAGGTCTATAGTTCGATGGAATTGTCGGATCATTCTTTTTAAAGATGGCAGTAATGTTAGCAAGTTTCCATCGTTTAGGCATTATGCCTTCTGATAGTGAAAGATTGAAAAGACGGCAAATTGAAGGTGCAATTTCATCAGCAACGCTTAACAGAATTCTATTTGGCAAATTATCTGGACCGCTAGCTTTGTTTGCGTCCAAGCTATGGAGCACCTCAGACACTTCGCAAACTGTTAACTGAATATTACTAAGCTGCTTTTCTGGTATGTTGATTGGAGAAAAATCAGGAGGTTCATTAGTGCCGAAATTGAGAACAGAGTGAAAGAAACGATTTAACATATTGGCCATACCAACAGGGTCAGAGACAAAATTTTGTTCATCTCTGAGAAAATTTGGTTGTTGATTAGTCTTTGTAATTCTCTTTATATATGACCAAAATCTTTTGGGGTTTTCGAACACAGAGTCCCTCATTTTTAAAGCATGTTCTTTCTTCTTTTTACTAATCAATTGTTTAGACTGGATCCTTAAAAGTTTATACTTTTCGAGATCGCTGAGTGATTGAGATTTTAAGGCCTTCCGTCTCTGGATGTTTTTCTCTCTCAATAATTGTCGCAGCTCTGTATCCATCCATGAGGGATCATTAGCATTATTTATGGTGAGTTTGGGTACATTGTCATTGACAATTGACATAAACATATCATACCAATTTGAAAGCGATTGTTCTACATCACTGATCACAAAGCACAAATCCCAAGGCGCACGTGTCAACATTTCTTTAAGTCCCGTCCAATTTGCATTTCTTAGATTGTATATAATTCGCTTCACTTTTGGTAGTTTTTTAATTTGAAGGTCAATCTGAAAGCTTATATGTTTATGATCCGTTTCGAGAATATCTTCAAAACCCTGAACGTTAACTATTTTGTCTGGGACGTTAGTTAGAAGCAAGTCCAAAATATTATCTTCTCTGGTCGGGAAATCAACTAACTGATACAAAAAGTTATCCTTAACTGTTTTAGCAAAAGCGTTCCCAATAGCTTCACCAGTAATTGCCATGCCCGTTGACCAGTCAATATTGGGGAGATTAAAATCTCCAAGCACAATAATCCTCTCAAGGTTCGCCTTAGATACAAGTTTTAGCGACTTTTTAAACTCCTTAATGTAATTAAGGTCAGTATCCGGTGGTCTGTAGAAAACTATAATGAGTAACTTACCCTTTGACTCGGGGCGTACTTCACAAGCAATAATTTCTGAGCTTGTTTCAAGATCTGTTCTTCGAACACTTCGAATTGAGTTCCTGACCGCAAGTAGGACTCCGCCACCTACTCGATTGGTTCTATCCCTCCGATGGATTGTAAATGAATTACCAGGCAATAATTCTGTGTTTAAAATATCCGGCTTTAACCATGTCTCAGTAACAGCGATCATGTCAGTATCAACAGCAAGCGCTTGTAATTCGGCAGTTTTATTCGCAAGGCTTCTAGCATTTAGATATAAGCCTTTGATTCTGAATTTGTTTACATTGCCACTATCCGGTCCTGGATTAGGATGTATACCGATCAAGCGGATTTTCTCGAAGGAAAAACATGCTGTACAATTGTGATAGTATTTAACTCTTCGTTTAAAATACCCAGATCTCTGAACACACATATTTCCATTAGTGAGGTGATTCGACCGCGTATAACAGCACACATTGTTAACAGCCGTATGTCCACACAAACATTCGCAATTCGGGCCAAATCTGCCCCGGTTTAGACAAATAATCACAATAATTATAAGTAGAAGCAAGAAAGCCGATCCAGACGACGCCATGATGCTTGTTAGATGATTTGATTTTAGACCATTGGCCTTTTTTCGAGACCACTAGTTTTTTTATCTTTATTAAAAATCATTTATTTTTATTATATTAAAATTAATGATTGGTCCATTTAATTAGAATGTGAAACTGCTATTCTTGTTTTTCATTTAGCTTATCTCTAAGCTTCGGGGTCCTGCTGAGACTCTAATACGATTATCCTACACTTTCCCAATATCGTCCAATTCCTTTATTCCAGAGCCTTTTCGACAACTTTTATTTCCTCCTTGGGGGTACACAAGGCAGGGGGCCCTTGTAGTCCGGATACACTGTTGACATCATCCTTTTTACCCTGTGTGGTCACCTCAACCTTAATATCATTGGATACAGAGAAATTTATATCACCAACCTTCCCATTTTTGTTAGACCTCCTACGACAGCCACAGATATTACCCAAACAGGAGAAGCATGAGCGCCACTTTGACATGAAAATTTATGATACAACACATGTTATACACCTGACCCCGAATATCGAAGTGACCAGCAAAAAGACAAGTCCATACTTGTACCAGTTGGCATTGAGTGTTCCGGTTTAACTATAATACACCAAGCTAGCGTGTTATCTACCAACTCAGCCTGGTTTCCTAAATAGAACATACTATTACCCTTGAAAACATAGCAAGCTGTACTTCCACCAGTAGTTGTGTAAGTTCCATTGAACCAAGTGTATGACAGTCTTCTTAAGTCTTTTGTTCTCAGAGCGATTTCCTTCTTAACCTGTGTAAATTTTCCATTAGACTGTTTTTCCCATACAGCAGCCCACAGGATTAGGGCTAGGGGTATATTTAGAGCTGTTGAGAAAATTGGGTAATCTGTTTTAATAGTAATTGACTCAAGGTTGAGGTCTGTCATATTATTAATAGTATCTGTTCTCCATGAAGGTGGAATCTGATCATGACAGTAAGCATAGTACCTTGTTGCTGCAACTGATACGCCACGATATCCCCAGATCCACTCTGCGTGAATGTGACGGTTTATTCTTACGTATCTCTTATCGGCCACTGCTTGTACAAGACCTGAGGAAGGTTTTAGGAAATTCTTTTCTACCCATTGCTTGTTAACTGCATCCTTATCATTTACCGGGTCCCTTAGATCAAGAATACCACTTGAGTCCCCCTTATCCAAATCACCCTTTACCAGTCCACCTCTACTACTCATGAACTCATCAGTTGCCCATTTCTTATTTACAGCAGAACCATCCGTAGTAGGATCACCTACCCTTGTTAACTCGTAATCATTAACATCAAGATTGCCTGATAAAACACCACCACCACCACGCTTTAAGAACTGCGAGCACCAGGAGCTCATAGTCTTATAGGAAACTGCAGCTGCGTCCCCAGCTGATCCACTACTAAGACCAGTGATACTATGTCCACCCATGTCGATATTACCTGTCATAGTGAAGCCGCTACTACTAATTGAACTCCCACTAACGTGATCGGTGACCCATTTTTTGAAAACAGCAGAATTATCAGTTGTAGGAGCACCTAATTTTATTATTTCATTGTTTCCCATATCGAGGTCGTCAGATAGAGTAAGACCGCTGTAAGTCTCACGCTTACTTCTACCTCCACTAATCTTATCTTCTACCCACTTTTTGTTAACAGCAGATGTATCAGCACTAGGAGCTCCAATATTTTCAATTCCATTTCCACCCATCTTGAGAACACCAGTCATTTCATTTGAACCGTCCAATTTCAAGGCAAAGCGTGAAATTTGGTTAACCACAGTTTGAATATCGGGAACAGCTATTTTTGCACCAAGTTTGTTGATTATGTAGATTGAGTTACCATTTGCGACAGTTAGATCACCATTTAAAGTGAATCCTGATGTAACCCACCTTTTGCTAACAGCAGACTTGTCGTCTGTAGGGCTGGCCAAGTTTTTAATTTCGTTTGTTCCCATGTTAATATCACCAGTCATTGTAAGTCCTGCAGGTTTAGCGTACACAGAATCCAACGCAGATATTTTATTTTCGATCCACTTCTTAGGAACGGCTTCATTATCAATTTTTGGGTCAGGTAGTCCGAAAAGTCTGAATCCAGCCATTGATATATCAGCCAACATACGACCTCCAAGATTAACAAAATTATTATCGGTGGCCCACTTTTTTGTAACAGCAGACTGATCTTCGGAGGGATCCTTAAGATTTTTAATTTCATGGTTCTTCATGTCAATATCACCAGCAATATCAAGTCCAGATACAGGTTTATTTAACATTCCAACAACCCAGTCCTTATTAACAGCAGACTTTCCAGTTGTAGGATCGCCCAAAGCCTTTATCTCATTGGTTGACATATTGAGATCATTTGTTAGGATAAGACCAGGTAGACTAACATGTATATGTCTACGGCTGCCTTCAACCCAACTCTTACTAGCAGCGTCACCTGGATTAGTAGGATTATCAAGATTAGTTATCTTATTACCTCCCATGTCAATATCCCCAGTCATTGTAAACCCTGCTGGTTGAATTGTAATAGCAGCCCGTTTAATGATCTCATCATCCACCCACTTTTTTGTGACCGCAGACGTATCATCTGTAGGTGCACCTAAACCCTTTACCTCATTACCGTCCATCTCAATGTCACCCTTCATGGTAAATCCGTCCTTATCAAACACACTGCCACTTGATGGGTCAACTTTATTTACTCCTTGGTTGTATCCCCGATAGAGAGCCATTTTTATAACATACATAATGTTTACAGGAGCATTCTTAGTAAAAAGAATACGATTACTGCACCGGCTCCAGCTTCTCCTATAACACTAGTTTCTGGAGTTCTAGAAGGATTTTGCAAGTAAGTGTTTGCTTTCTGTGTAGGAGGTACGAGAGGAGTATCCGAGTTATTAGTAGAGGATACATGTTGATGTTGCTTACCTGAAGTAATAGTATCAAGGTGACTTGTTGGAGTTGAATCCTGATGTTGCTTTTTAGGAGTATCAGATTTTTTTACACCAACAAAGTTTACGTTATCATTTACACCAAACTTAACACTAGAGTTAGGTTTTAGTAAAATATTATTATAACCAGGAATGGGATTTTTTAATATTACCAGATTTGATGGAAACAATATAATATCAGGATTAATTGCCGTATTTACTATAGCGTTAGTGTCCCTGATTGCAATTCTCATATTAGTGATTCCAGTTGAAATATCAGTTTGAATAACCATATTCTCTACAAGTTTACGGAATCCTTTTTGTGTTAGTAAAGAGGAAGTTCCACGATCAACTATAGCCCACCTGGTATTAGCTTGAGCTCCCAGGACACAGTAGACATAACACTGCAAGCTTTCCTGTATGAGTGAAGTATCAACGAGACCTGTACTTTTGGTAGCATAATACCTCATGTAGTCGTTAGCACCAGCAAGGGAGGTTTTACCTACCAGCTCATCGTAACTAATCCCAACTATTATTCCGGAAGCATTTTTAGCGTACCTAACATTTCTAACAGTCCTACCTTCGTTTCTGAACTTCCTGTAAACAATTCCAATAGATGC